CCAATAATTACGGCTACGATACTCGGAGCGTACGACACTCGAAGCAAAAACGCGCACCCCATACAATTTTAATGCGCGCGCAGGAATTTACGCGGGATTCTTGCGCGCAATGGAAAAACCACGCGTATTGCGCGCTACGAATTTTGATGCGCGCTAGGTGTTGTTTGTTTTTAATTTTTATTTCGTTTTTGTGCGAAGAGATACATGAAACTGGCATATTGTGCAGGATGGATAGGTAGTTTCGTAACAGTACCTAGGTCTTATAACTGCTTGACGCAACCAACAGAGTTAATAACCACATCATAGTTTATTTAATTTTTTCGTATGTAGGTACTATATACAAGATAATTAAAAATATCAAATAGACCTAACTAGGTACTTATACCCAAATATTGAATTATTGCATAATAAAAAATAATAATTTTCCTGCTACGGTGGACGTATTAAAATTTCTGAAAAATCTTCTGTTTGACTAAAAGGATGTATATACCTACCTACCTCTTCCTACTACTTTTTCCAACTCATCTGTCAGCTCTACGTTTGTAGTTCCATGATAAAAAAAAATCAAATGAAACAGTAGCAAACAGTTAATTTATTCAAACAATAATTCAACGAAATACTTAATTACTGTATTGTATTGTAAGTAACAGACCATTAATTTATCATACTATGGCCGTCCATTGTAATGGTCTTTTGAACGCCTGCCTATAATTGAAATATTTTAATATGGGTGTGCCAATATTTGTAATGCAGTAATTTTTTATTGGCTATCTCGTACGACCAATCAGTAATAGCTATGAGTAAATAGACACGCCCATTTCGTAAATATGTAGTAGGTATATAAAACTAGGTATTTACTTACTGGTTTTATTAATTCAGGGTAATAAATAAAAATTGCAGATCGACAGGTGGCGTTGATGAATATCTGAGTTTTATAAATTGTTTAGGAATATTTATTGGAAACTGGTACTACTTATCTACTTTTTGCAAATATCTGTGATAGATTCAGGTATTTAGCTATATTTTATACTACCTTTAGAATGCAAGTACTATTGTGAAATAAGACGAAAAACACACGTAACGTGGTGGTTATGGTGTAAGTGGTCGTTCTTTATAGCCGTTTACGCTCTTCCTACCCCACAATGGATATGGGCGTGATAAATGTATCTATATGTGTATGTATGTAGTATAACTCTTAACAAGCACCTTTTTTCGTGTGACAAAAATACCTACCTATGTTTATATTTTTTCAATGCGTAGGTTGGTACAGTGTTTTCGAAGTTAAATGCTACTTGCTTCATTAGAAACAAGCTAATACCATATTTGGTTAAACTTCTTAAAACACAAACTAATTACCTGCTTAGGTAGGTATGTATTACAAACAATGTGAGGTAATCATCCACGTATGTGGCAAAAACATTGTATGAAGATATCCATTGGCTTATACGTGGGGCTTAATTAAAATATCCTTTAACCTTATTAGTGGTGTTCTAAAATGGCGAGACAACTCGTCATTTCACTCGCCAATAATTGGTTCTGACACAAATTGCCAAAGTAATTAACAGTATCATGCCAGCTGATTTACTGATAATAAATACCTACGTTTAATGAATTTGTGGTTTTCTTGGTACCTAAAAATTTCACTTTTTCGCGGCTTCGAAGAAAGTTATTTATAAAATAACTAACTAGCCCCTAACTAAAGGCCACCCAAGAAGTTTCGCTCGTTCGTTGCTAACCGTTTTCCCGAGGGAATAAGATATAGCGTAGGGTATGTCACTCAGGAGATAGAAGTTTTGAATCGGCTCAGTCGTATGGGAATTTTGTTGATAACATACAAACAAACATATCTCTCCTTTTTATCATATTATTAGCATAGATAACCACTACCTAAATTGGAAATTCAAGGAACTTTTAAAATTTTAAGATGGCTAAAGTCACCTCTTTGTTTTTGAGTAAGTCACAAATCACCTCTTTAGTTTTTGAAGTAAAGTTTTCTCTTCATATCAACAAAGAGTCAGGAAGTTCCGTTTCCACGAAGTGACACCCGGAAAAGAGGTCCACTGGAATTATTCAAACCATGACAATCTAAGTTAGTGAAAACTTTCCTGTAGGAAAATTTCACTCGTGGTTCTGTCTGGTGGGTATTTTCGGACCATCTTGCAGTCTGAGTTTCCTTCTGATAGGAAAATGTCGAGTTTTAGGGTGAGAATCCACCAGAGCTGTGCGAGGTAGCGAGGCGGTGAGCGAGGAAAAAATCCACCAATAGAATCACTTCATTTTCCTAGCCTCGCTCAGCTCAGCTCTGGTGGAATAGGGTTGAGCGAAGCGAGCCCATTCTACATACAAAACAAGCGAGAAATGTGTGCGAGGAATGTGTTGCGAGGAATGTGTAGCGAGGAATGCGTTGCGAGGAATGCGTTGCGAGAAATGTGTTGCGAGGTTTCCACTACATCGCATTCCCCCCGCTCACACATTTCACAGCTTCGCAACGCATCCTCGCTCCGCACATTAATGCGCATTTTGACAGCTCCGCTACGCATCCTCGTACGACACATTTTACTCGCACAGCTCTGGTGGAAACCCCTACACATTTCCACAGCACAGCTACGCATCCTCGTACGACACATTTTACTCGCACAGCTCTGGTGGATTCTCACCCTTAAAATAATGCCAACATAAACAAATGATTGAATTCCACACAATGTTTCAACTTGTCAGTGTTTATTAAACTGAAGCAATGAGTGGTAACACTATGTGAATAAGGATAACCCTGTTATGGGTAGGTACAAGATGTGACGCGAGACAAAAATTTTGGCAACATACTATTTAAATCCATACCTATAAAGAAGACGACCTAGTATCATAACAAAATCCTTTTCTAAATCAAGTTCCACCATTAACAAACAGCCACAACATTCCACTGCTGTACATGGGCTTCCCCTATCGGGGGGTATTGCCGTATTCATCACGCTTGTCAGGTGTGGATACAGGGAACGCTGCTGCCCATTCCCTGTATTATTATCCCTTAGTCGCTTTTTACGACACCGACTACGAATAGAATTGGGGTGATGCTATTTTAAGCCAGCATCACGCGGCAAGTTCACTAGCCTTATTTCTCTACTGACTCAATCATTCACACAATAAACCGACAAATAAAGTGCGAGGGAACCCCTCTGCCCAGACAGTGAACACTCATGTCTCTCTCCTTAACAGAATGACTTCGATCCATATTATATGCTCCATGGGGGGACCAGAATTAAAATAATATAAATATCCTGGACAATTCAGACAGCGCCTCATAGCCCCAAACTCAATAAAGCTTCACACATACTAGTTATGGCGTGCTCCGACCATGAAACTAAACTACCCATGGAACATATGGTGGTAAACGAAGTCAATCAGCTGATTGTGAAGTTTGTGTAGAGGTAGGAGGTCGGTTTCTTTTCGTTTACCACCATACATTTCATGGGAAAAATTGTTCAGTTTCATCGTCTGAGCACGCCTGCAAAGTTATCGTTACAACGTTACACCCTGGAGAACCGTGATCATCACCAAATTCTGGCAACATACTACTCGTATGTTGAACATAGAATTTACCTACATCCACATTTGAGACATTGATAAGTTAGGTATATAGAAGACGTCACAAGAAAAAAACACTTCCTAAATCGAGTCTTTTAGCTTTATTTCTCTACTGATGACTAAATTATTCACACAATAAACCGACAAATAAAGTGCGAGGGAACCCCTCTGCCCAGACAGCGAACACACATGTCTCTCTCCTTAACAGAAAGACTTCGATCCATATTATATGCTCAACAACTCAACGTCCTTTTACGCGTGACCCACTGTCCTTTTAAAAGCACACACTTGAGTTCCTTTGGAAGAGTGAGCCAGCAAGCGCTTGGCTACTAGCGCCACTTTGTGGAAATCTAAATTATTTACCTATTTAGTATTCCAGTCCATTTGCTAAATCCTTTTGTAACAGTTTTTCTGTAACCTGACACTATAGGTACAAAGTCTTCTGAATGACTCTCAAATTTTGCTGTTATTTACAGACGTTTACGCTCTGCCTACCCCGCAAGGGATATCCATATAGGGGTGATAATTATGTATGTTTTGTAAATTATTAAATCACTTATTCAGATTAATCACAGTTGGGTTGGATATTGCAAGCTGGACCTCGTCTTTGAAGGACTGGAAAATAATTTCGGATTTCAATAATATAACTTGGAAAATGTTACCAAACACACCGGTTCATTAGATAGTATACTTAGTGTCGTACTGAACAAGCAAATATTTATGTATCTTTGCTGAATGTAGCGCTAGTGACCACATGTTTACCGACGGAACGACCTTAAGAAGCACATCAGCTCCTTAAAGAAGCATGGCGGCCAATCAATCGCTTACGGCGACGCAGGCTTTTACGGCTGTCGCAATGAATGAGCAATAAACAAACAAACAAAGAGCCAGGGAAGCCCCAGCTCCAGACAGACCACTAGTGGACCATATAGGACCACGATGGACCATATTGGACCACGGTACCACGTGCATCTCCTTACGAGAGCCGCCGATCCATATTTTTGGATCCGATCCATAACTAAGGACTTAAGTTGCAGTGGCACCTACATATTTAGATAAGGAGTAGGGTGTATAAGGTTTTGGTGGGATAAACAAACGGATATTTAATTCAATCAATTGGCTTCAACCATAATATTATTGTATTGTCATTGTTTTTTGTTTCAATAAGTTTTAAAACAAACTGAAGATTATACTCATACCTTACTAAATAAAGTTAATTCAATTGATATTTCGATACTGCTATAAAACTAAAGTGCGTAATTTTAAAAGAAAATCTTTAAAGCTCATAAATTAAATAATGAGAAAATTGAAAAATTCACTAGCGACCGCCGGGACTTGAACCCGGGACTGTGGATCAACGTTCCACCGCTCTACCGACTGAGCTACGGGCGCCTAGCGGACATTAGTGAATCTTTCAACCTCTTGATGCTCGTCTCGGTAGAGCGGTGGAACGTTGATCCACAGTCCCGGGTTCAAGTCCCGGCGGTAGCTAGTGAATTTTTCAATTTTCTCGTTATTTAATTTATGAGAATAATATAGCGCTGTGAGTGCATTAAAAATTCCAATACATCTTTAAAACTGTTCGTCTGATTTCAATAGGTACTCCTTAAGCAAAAGTTTCCAGAATGTAGGTTGGATTCAGTCGTGAAGGTTACAGAGAAAAATTACGATATTCCTTTCATGTGTAAATTGGCTAGTCCATGTCTATAGTGTTGTGGAAATAGTTAATAAACAAGTGTAAACAAGCGTAGTTCCTTACAATTATTACGTCCAATTAAACATGATGTTACAATATTAACATCGAGCTCAAATATCCGATAAATTACCGCGCTCATAGCCACCCTACCGAGCCCTCTGCGTATGGTGGGTGGCCGGTTAAGGCTCTTGCTAAAGATGTTCTTAACCATTGGGATTTCTTTTTTGGTCCGACCAGCCCCAAATAGGGGGGTTCATTGGTCCCTATGCCCCCAAAAGGGGAGGTTGTTTACTATTACGTAATTCTTCGTATGAATGAGTATACTTATATGTTTTGTTTTTGATTAGTGGGTGAAAGTGGAGAGACTGATAAGGTTGTGTGGGTAAATAAGTCCTTGTATGGTTTTCTGTTAGTCTTGGAGGTTAAGGTTGAAATAAATATTGGTTTAGTGAGTCAGAGATGTTTTTTGTGTCTGTTTTGTTAGGCCAAGTTTTTCTTCTTACTTAGTTACTTTTCGCAAGAAACACACGATATGTCCCTTTGTGCGTCATTTGCGCGTTGCGTGACGCATGCGTTAGAAAAATACGAATTTTGACCTTATTTTCATACAAGTACGGTTTATGTGTAGCAAAACATGGACTGAAATCGTTCGGAGGGGTCGTCATCATCACCATCATTGTAATAATAATGAAACATTTGTTTCTTGTTTACTATGATGATCACACATTTATTAAGTACCATAGGAAAATGGGTATAACATTGGATGACTTTATATATGGGTATTCATATACCTGCGAACATTTTTAAATGTTAAGTAGACAATTAACTTCAATAAATACTCTACAATTGGTTTAAATTTTGCAAAATTTTTCTTGATGCCTAATTTATAATGAGGCTACATAACTTTACTATTTCATACATGAAACTCCAAATAAGAGACATTTTATGACTGAGTAGGTGACCGTAAAAAATATACATATCTTAGTAGGTCTCTGTTTTAAATTCACGTCATAGACCATCATTTAACCTTCCTCATTAGGACTTTAGAAAATTTATAGGCAATTAATACAGTACTTAATGTTTTATACTACATTTATAGTATGGTAGGAAATGCTAATACGTTAATTTCAATGTCAATCATATCTGACACGGCGCGGCGCGTGCGCAGGCAAAGATGGCGGCGTTTCCGGTGACGCCGGAAGGAGGTTGACAGTTACTTTCGCGCCAATTGCATAACAATCGCCATTTTGCGGGTAGGTGCTCGGTGTATTCCTATTAAGACTGTTTTATTCAAAATTGTTTGTGTTTTCGTTTGTTAGATTTTGGTAAATTAACATGTCATACACTAAAATGATTTAATTTAAATTGATTAAGAAACCCTACACAGCCAAAAACTTTCGGAGAGATAGCTGGGAAAATGTGATCGATGTGCGTACCTATTTTATAATGTACCTGTGTTATGTCTCTATTTTTCGTCTCTCTATCTGTGCGTTGGTAAAAAAATAACTCTACCGCAGCTTTAGATACTATACTATATGTATTCTGTGATACTATCGCCAAAAATGGAGTTGACGTAATCCCCCCAATTATTGCAAACATGACAGGCTGACAACATGTCATTTTAAGTAGTGATCATCAGTGATACACAATAATTTTGAAATAACTCTCAAGTATTTTTTGTCAATCGTGGCAATGACGACCGCATTTTTCTTGCCGTTGTCCCTCTGCTCACCCTGTAAGAGATAAAGATTTGATCTGTGTATGTAAATGTACGTACATTGCATATTTATAATTGAAAATGATAATGATAGAAATATATTTAGCTTCTTCCGCACCCAGGATGGTTATGCTGCTGAGTGAAACACAGTACGACCGCAACCTAATGCAAATGTACTAGCGATATAACACACCAACACCGCAACCACCGTTTTACACTCTACACTGAGTCGGTGCTCGGAACTTGACTGTCGAAGATCTCCTGAGGATGCTCCGTGGAGGAGTGAAACACGTGTAGAGTGTAAAACGGTGGTTGCGGTGTTGGTGTGTTATATCGCTAGTACATTTGCATTAGGTTGCGGTCGTACTGTGTTTCACTCAGCAGCATAACCATCCTAGGTGCGGAAGAAGCTAATTATATTGCTATCATTTTCATCAAGATGGACTTCCGCAATGTAACGCCTGATACTATTAGTTACTTATAATTGAAAACGTATGTTACTTTCTTCGTAATATTTGTACATAAAAGACCCTTGCCAGTGTAAGCGCATATCCGCGTTGTAAAGCGGATAAAGCGCGTAGAATTAGGCCTACACCGCGCAACGGTGCGCGTCCGGCGGATGCTACGAAAGTAAAGTAGCCCGCGCATGCGCGCTGTATGCGAATCATGCGCAGACGACCTGGAGACTTTGTGGTGAGGGATAGCAACTATGTTTAGGAAGTGGGTATTTTTTCGGTTCATTTTATATATATTTTTAACTTTATGCATAATGTAATGCCGCCCGGATGCTACGAAAGTAAACTAGCCCGCGCATGCGCGCTGTATGCGAATCATGCGCAGACGACCTGGAGACTTTGTGGTGAGGGATGGGCAACTATGTTTAGAAAGTTGGTATTTTTTCGGTTTATTTTATATATATTTTTAACTTTATGCATAATGTAATGCCCGGATGCTACGAAAGTAAACTCGCCCGCGCATGCGCGCTGTATGCGAATCATGCGCAGACGACCTGGAGACTTTGTGGTGAGGGATGGCAACTATGTTTAGGAAGTAGGTAGTTTTTTCGGTTTATTTTATATGGTTTTTTAACTTTATGCATATTGTAATGCCCGGATGACACGAAAGTAAACTAGCCCGCGCATGCGCAGACAACCTGGAGACTTTATGGTGAGGTATGGGTAGATATAACTATATAACTATGAATTGGGGAAAAATTGGGAAGGACCTACATTTTTACGGATTTTATTTGTGTACCTATTTAATTTATTATATTTAACCGATCGTGTTCATTATCCAGCGCTTGCATATCTTTGACACACTTTAAAACTGTGTCTGGAGTAGATCTTTGACAGCGATTTTGTTCAAACTACATGGTATTTCATTTGCTATTATAGTAAGTTGTCACATTTCACTCAACAATATAAAACTACTTCTTATTTTGGATTGAATATGAAGTCAGCAAAGATTTTCCGCTCGAGTTTTCATGCTTCACACAAACCTACAAATCCGTGATTTCTTTCCTTCCCATGCAGGTGCGTACCGGCAGCTCCGTCCCTAATACCATGTTCAATCAGACGTAAAGAACTTACGATTCTAAGAAAAGCGTTCGAGCTTCTTCAAACGCGCAGTAAGTTAGTGGGTTAGAAAATAATGTAATGGAGCGCACAGGAAGTGAACTTGCGCTTCTTAGAAAAGTGTATGAGCTTCGTGGAGCTACATTGATAGTGCTTATACGGGGTGTTAGGGACGGTGAAACGAAAACTTTGCGGGCGTGCTCAGACCATGAAACTGACCTCCCATACAAAGTCAGTCAGCTGATCGTGAATTTTGTATGGGAAGTCAAAAAATTTTTTTCTTTTCCCACCATTGGCTCCATAGTAAAAGTTGTTCAGTTTGATGGTCTGATCATGCCTGCCAAGTTTTCGGCACACCGTCCCTAACACCCTGTATAGTAACAGTAGGTGTGTGATGCTTTCTACGGAAAGAAAAATTAATTTTGGCGACATTTTTGTATCAAAAGGATTCACTTAGACTTGACTTTGGTCGGAAGTCAACTGCGTCTATACCTAGCCCAGTAACTTTGTACATAACTCGTAAATGTCTTCATAGTTATTGTGTTTAGAGTTGCATATTTATTTGCAATTTTGTTGATAATTACGTAGTCCCAATTTGAAATATACGAGTCCATAAATCCAGGCGACAAAGTTACGGGCCTACTAGTTCAGTCACGAAGTTCTAGTTGGTGAGATATAAAAACTTCGTGATAAACTAGAGTATACTATACATGGTATGAAATTATACTTATCGTTTAAATTTTTATCAAATATTCAAAACAGTGGAATTAAGCAGAACAAAGCTTATTTAGGTAATTTCAGCACTAGGTATTGCGAAAAATAATTATATATCCGTTTTAGATAGACATAAAAGTGCTTGTGTTTTAAAATTAGGAAATAGCATAATTTCTTGTTAGAAAAGACCTATGACCCAGTGCTATGACCAACTTTATGAAATTATGATGCGGAATTCAATTTCATTTTTAGGTTTGTTGTGATCCCTTTTTACATACCAACTTATATTGAATTTCCATAAAATTACTAAGACAACCCGGTATAAGTTGATCCCTTAAACGTGTAGGTAGATTTGCTGACGATATACCTACGCCAAAATCAAAAGCTTTTCCTTATTTTTCCTCTTACCTAAATTTCTCCCAACGTTGACTCTACCTACATTTTTAATGGCAAAGAGCACAAAATAACGTTTCTCATAAAAATTATCTCTCTCTCATAAATGTGCCCGGGAAAGTCATTAAAAATTCGTTTGCAGAAGTAGCTTAGCTTTTGCGAGTAGAATGTAATTTCCTAAGTTTATTAGACCTTTATTAGTATGGGGCTTGAGTTTCTACACGTGTCAGAGATTGTAAAAAATTTATGGATACTGTGGGCAGTACGTCATCAGCACAAAATAGGGAGTTAACAGAGACCCTATTTAGGATTTTCATTTGAGATTGCCATTTATTACAAAGCCATGGTTGCTACTGTCAAAAATCTCAATGTACCTTTAAGAAAATCAAAACGTCAT